AGCCCAGAAATTCTATGATGTTATTAGCAAAACATGCAACAAAACATATGTGCTTCGGTATTAAAGATAAAAGAATGACTTCATTATATTTAGATATTAGTTATTAGTGTATTTTTCAAAGGGACTTTTGAGATAAAAGCCCAGCTGCCATTCTTAGAGGTGAGCTGGGCACACCATGGTCCTGGCTCTCACTGAGTGGCAGGTTTCCAAATAACTGAGACATTTCTGAAAATGTCATATGAAGCCTCCTGCTAATTTACTCATTATTCCTCTTCTCATAAGAATAAATATTATTTTTCCAATATTGCAGGTGAAGTGAGTGGGCAGGGACCTTAGAGAGAAGGGTTTGATTTTCACAATTTTTAGGTTCCTGTGACTCTAAGCATGTCCTTTGCTGTCCTGTACCTCACTGCTCCTCACCTCGATATATTGTGCTCTTCATTTCAACCTTGATTCTTCCCATTTGGCTACAACCCCTCGGCAAGGATTGCCTCCCCAGGTGTGTCCACTGCCTAGCCCAGGGAAAATGCTCTCCTAATTAAAACCTCCAGTCACTTACCTACAGCCTAAAATCCTGACAAGAGCCACTGCTAAATAAACTGTCTTGCAGGATGCCTACAGCAAGGCTGGAAAAACATCCTCTAAAAAGTAACGACTGATATGCAGCACCCAATCCATTCAATAACCTCTGTCAGGATACTGGAGGCTGCTCTGCTGTTTTCTGTCTAAAACAGCATCCAAGTACTTCCAAAGTCGGAAAAAGCTATTTGCCATTTAAGTACAAAGATTAGCCTAAATCCCCACAAGGGGCAGAAGCAGCTCAGTCTTCACTGGTTCCTTTCACATGATGCTCCCTCCCCACGAGGAAGGAGCGCTCCCAGGATGCTGGGGGGTCACAGCTGGCAGGAATCACTGCAGCTCAAAAGGGACACAAAACCAGAATGCATGACTCAACTGGCTTCTCAGGCCAGGTCTAAACAACAGAAATGAATTGTTGTTTATAGAGGAAATCAGATGACTGAGCTGCTCTTCAGCACAAAATGACAACACATTTCTTTATCCTGTTTTCTGTTGAACATTACAAGAATGTTGCACTTTTTGAGCAATGAGCTTTGAGCTTTTCAGAAACCTGAGCTAAACTGCTGTGTGAGAGAAATTACAGGAAAAGCCAGTAATTGGGAAGCCTAATTACAAGGTAATGTGGTGCTCATGAGCAGAACTGCTAAACAATTAGGGTCTAGACTAACGAGTAGCCACCTGTCAGCTGGGAGAGGGCTGACGAAAGGCCGGCACAGGACACTCCTGACAGGCTATGGAGGAGGATATGAAAACAAGGAAATGTTCAAATACTATATTTAAGATACACAGTATGAAAAGAGCCACTGATTGGAGCTCATATGCTTCTTAAATATGTGGACAATATAATTGTAGCTGTACAGGAAAGGGAAGTTCAGCACAGAGTGAGAGGCATGGAGTGATGAGGAGAAGAGTACAGGAGGTGTGGGATGAATGGGGCTGGAACAGAGACACAGATTATTTCCACTTGGACTGCTGGATAGGAGGGTGCCAATTAATCACCAGCAGAACCCCAAACTTCCTGTACTTCACTGCTTTACACCTACTATAGTATAACATACATGCCATGCTGCCGGGAAAAATGAAACCCCCGCAATAAAGTCAGCATTTACTCACACTACAGGAAAACCTAACAAATAGCAGTGGATACAGAAATAAGCTCTGGAGCAATCCATTCTAGTCAAAGAATCACAGACTCACACAATGGCCTGGGTTAGAAGGCATCTGAAGATCAGCCAGTTCCAATCCCTGCCATGGGCAGGGACAGCTTCCACTGTCCCAGGTTGCTCAGAGCCCCATCCAAGCCTGGCCTTGAACCCATCCATGGGAATCCACAGCTTCTCTAGGCAGCCTCTTCCAGTGCCTCACCACCCTGACAGTAAAGAATTTATTCCTAATAGCCAGTCTAAACCTGCTGTCAGTCAGTTTGAAGCCATTCCCCCTTGGCTTGTCACTTTGTGTTCCTCTCTGGATCGCTCTTAACAGAGTCAAAGACAACAGTGGTCAGGGCAGGAGAAGGTAGATGCTAATTAAACAAAGTATTCTTTCCTCTCCCTAAAACAGTGGATAAAAATGCAAACTGAAATTTGAATTTACAGCGGCATCACAAAAATTGTAAAATGTTCAAATTTACAACTTTGCCACACCTCTCACTTTGTGCAAGTAAATTTAATTGCAATTCCAATTTAAAAAAATGTAAATATATCCACAAATGAGTCACAAGTTGTGATTGAAAGCTGAGACAAAGCCTGTAATCTTTACACTGGAAGTGTATTTATGTCAGCTTTGAGACTGCTTCTTTTCTTTTTTGCTAGGTCCTTTAAAATCAATAGAATGACACAAAACTATTGAGTGAGGAATATGTTGTTTTTCCACATGCACACTGAGAATCAAGAAAATACTTAAGTATGAGCTCATTGCATCAATTTTGTGGAATTTTTAGCATACTTTTAAGTGTGACCTTGAATACAAATATTTTCTTTATTAAAACACTTGCTCTAAGACTCACTCTAGACAAAGAAAAAATCTTCCTCATTCAGTGTTTGAATCATCCCCTTGCTTACTGGGAAGAGCACAGGTATTTTACTGACTGAATTATTTTGGCTGCAAATCCCTCAGATGATTAAAAGACTCCTAAACATGCAGCAAGCTTCATCTCCGGCCACTAGCCTCTTGTCTTCTGCAGTAATGTAGAGGGAAAGGAAGGAAACAGAACTCTGATGAGACAGGAGGACTGAATTTTGCAGAGCTCTGAATGACTGTGATATTTTCTGTATGATTCACAGGAGAAGAAGGGAAAGGGCACACAACAGTTTCCCATTTATTTTATATTTATATACTTCTATTTTAACAACTGTGTGGATCCCCGCAATGCATCAGCTAGGCTTGTAAGCTGTCATCCAATTGTAATATGCTATTCCCAAATATGCCATTTTTTCTTTTGCTAAGGCCTTCCAGCAATCTTGTTATACTAAGTTAATTAGTTTGGCTTTGGCATTTTTGGAGTCTTTCATTTGCATACTGAAAAATAAGAGACCAATAACAACATGTGCTTAGGAATCTGGCTACTGGTCTTTCATCTTATTCACAATTTCACCACTTAGCCAGCTTTGAAAGCTGTGAAAAATCCAACTATAATACAGAAAAGCAATTAATGTTGTAAAATGGCTCTGGGTCCTTGGATGGATGACATTGTACATCAGCATCTTGCCCTTAAATGCTAAGTCACCCTTGGGAAAATCTGCAGGGTATCTGTTTTAGTACATCTATCTATTTAGATGTATTAAAACCAGTGTCAGTGTTTGTCAATATCAAAACAAGAGAGTAACTACTTCTAAAATTTCTGTGTATGTTTTCACAAGATGTCTTTGTGTTTTGTCCCTTACAGAAACAATATTGTAGCAATTTCAGAGGCAAGACAGCACTGGAATCATTAAGGGTACCTGAGAGGACAAGATATGGATTTTAAAATACTCAAGATCAGAATCCTAATAAAAGTCTATATGACTTTAGTATTTGACCATAATTGAAAGAGCAAAGGAAATGCTGTTTTTTCACAGCAGACTGCAGTTGTGGAGAACAAGCCTTATGTCCACATAGAGTGATACTCATGAGAGAGGGGATATTATACCAGGTCTGTGGCAATAATTCATTCTCTATTCCTGCAAAAGTTTAGTTAATTGTTTGGAATTCCCTCCACTATGCTCTGTTTGATATACTCCAGCAAATAAAGAAAATAGCAGTCAAAGTCTCAATAAAACACATTTTCCTTCAATACAGCCATCAGGATATCTGTGTTTAAAGGAAAAGGATGCTAGAAAAAAAAATCCTGAACTGCAATGCAGCTATTTCCATCATCATTCCCAGAAAGTGGTTGTAGGAAGCGCCATTCCCATGGAGAGCAGAACCTGGAAACAGCTCCTGCACTCTGGCAGGTGTGTTTGTGAAGGTGTTTATTGTCTGCAACAGCTTTCCCCTCTCTTTGAGAGGGTGGCAGCACTTGCAGCTGGGGAATGTGTTAATTCAGCACTACCCTTTAACACTCTCTCTTTTCATTACAGGTATTAAAATTGTTCCCAATGGGCACAGCAGACAAGGAAGGCTAAACACGAGGAAGGACTTGATCCAGCTCCCCATTTAATTCAAAAGAAAAGCTAATAACTTCCATGATAATAGGAGTTGGACTGGAACTCAATTGAACAGCACACCACAAATCATTTTATTCTCGCCAAAGCTTGTTCTGACTGTGGCAGTTTCCAGTGAGAGCTGGAATCTACATCCCCCAAAGTAGCTCCACTCCAGCAAACCCAACATGCATTAATGCAAGTATTACTTGGTTTTCCCCTGGCTGGAAAGTGTAAGGCAGCAGAGGAAGAAAAGAGCACATGGCTTGTGTGCAAGCCCCAGCCCAGATGCTGCTGGACCACTGTTTGCCTGTTGTTTAGCATTGCTTCACCTCTCTGCCAGCAGAAAAACAGATTTGATGTTTTGTTTATGGTAAAATAATCACTGCTGTTGCTCCATCCACGTCTTCCAACCATGTGTTACATCACTCACTAAGTCTTGGATGCTCTTGGAGAAAAAGGCTGTAGTTTTCCATGCCTATCTATGAGCCCACTGGGCAGCCCTAGATAAAAAGTTAGAACAGTGGTGTTTGTGTGTTTAACAGGAGGAAAACTGGAACAGGAATTTGAAGGTTGAAAACAGGAATTTGAGGGCATGATCCTGGGCAAACAGCTCTCACTGCTGGAGCTAGGAGGTAGACAAGGTGATCCCCAGAGGTCCCTTCCAACCCTAAACAGTCCTTGATCCTGTAATTTCAGGAGCAACATAAGGAACTGGAGGAATTAAAAATTACATAAAAAAGGCAATGGCCAGGGAGCAAGGAAGCAAAGCAAAGATACTACAGAGTGCTCAGAACTCACCAGTTATCCATTTAGCCTCTGGGTCATGAATCTTAAAATCATCACTGAAGAGATCTTCCACTGTTATCTTCTTCTTCTGAGACAAGCTGTTATCTTCAACTGTAAAACATTCAAAAATAAACTAACATTAATTCAACTTTGAGATGTATTTGAAAGCAGAGAAACTGTGAATAGTGATATGTCATCTCATTTGGAAACAGCCCACATTAAGCTTTGTGTCACACAGAAATCCCTTCCCAATGCCAGTGTTATAAAAGGACCCCCTAATGGTTCACTAACAAAACCCTCCTTGCTATACATGCCTGGTCTTAATAACTACAAGCAGACCAAGAAATGGTCCAAACCACACACTACTTTATTTTAAAATACTTTAGTAAGTATTTTATTTTAAATTGATTTTTTATTTTATTTTATTTATTTTTATTTTAAATTTTATTTACAGTATTTAATACTTTAAATAATTTAAATACTTCAGTAAGTACTATGTAAATGAAATACTTTTAAATACTTTTAAAAACTATTAGAAGTGGCCAATATTTTACTGTTTATACTTTTATTTCCTTACAAATTTTAACATAAAACCATAGCTGGAAAGGTGTTTGACCTTATAAGGGCTCATACAGATTACTTCTGAAATTCACAAAAGATATTCCATGGCAATCAGACATTTGGTTGCAGAAATATTTTTGAAAAGTCTATGAGACATAACCCTTAATCCTTAGGTGTTGCATAGCTGGCCCATACTAATTTTAGTTTTTACTGAAAGGATGTAGAGTTTCATTTGTAAACATGGCAATATCAAAGCTGAAAATTTTAGGGAAAAACCAACAACTTTGAATACTCAAAAATTTTTGATTAATATGTTCCCTCTTCCCTTTCCTCCCATCAACTGTAATTTTTTTTTTGTTTTGACAAGCAGTCACCCTCTATGAAAAATTTGTTGACAACATTCAATTTTTTGACGAAATAATATTTTCATGGAAACCTTTCAGTCAGCTTTAAGTACATTTGCTCTTTTAAAGAAAAGAGGAGGCCACATTCTGGGTATTTCCACAGCAGGAATGTGTGTTTCAGCATCTTTCCTCATGACAGAATCCTCATGCCTGAGGTTTATTGGCAGCCTCAGATAACTTTAATATTGTTTAGTGCTAAACTTACACTGCACATTTATGATTAGAAAAGTGGAATCAGACCCTGAAGGTACTAATTTGTGGAAAAAGTCTTCTTTGCTGTACTAAATTCAAGGCCCTGAGCTACCTGAGATGACAGAAAAATACCTATCAACAGTGTTTTGTTCCACTAAAAGGTGTTTCAGAACAAACTTTCACTTTTACCAAATTAAATTATATTCTTCAACATTCATATTTTTCCCTAGTCTGGCTGAGACTTCAACCACACTGTTCACTGTGGATTCCAAATACCAGAACCCATTAATACAAGTCCTCAGCCAAATCCCTCTGTGTGACAGAGCTATGCCAAGTTATTCTGCATAATTTTATTTATTAAAATGGAAAATATTGGTGACAAGGACCCCAGGAAATCATTACAATTAATTTCACCGTGGTGCAAGTCCCCAGAACTGGATACCCAGGGAGCACAGGTGGGGCAGGTGCCCCCACACAGCCCTAGGGCTTGTGCCTGTTCCAGGAGATGCTTCCCAAATGCCCTCTGGAAGAACACAGGCACTCTCTTCTCCCCATGAGGGCACAGGGACAGGCACAAGCAAAGCTCTGTGCTGGAGACTTGGGAAGAAGCAGGGTGGGAAGCTCTTCCTGTTCCTCCTTTGTGTGCAGGATGGGGACAGGCAGTTTGGGAGCTGCACCATCTCTGGTTCTGCACAGCACTGCAGCTCCTGCTGAGGAACAGCAGGAAGAGACAGAGGCAGCACCTGGACCTTGCACACTTAGGAAACTCCCTGAGGGATGAGGTGAGATTCCCTTCCTGCCCCCTGCCTTGGGCTCTAAGAGCTGCAAGAATTCCTCGGCTGGGCCATGGACTAAATTCACCTCAGTCACAGAGCTGGGGGAAAAACACAGAAACTCAATAATAAATCCATCACTGAATTTCAGTAACACACAAAAAAAAATAATAATATTTACTGACCTCTCCTCTAACAGGCAGGTAGGTCAGAGGGCTTTTTAAGAACATCTGCTCCATTTCTCTGGCCCTAATGGAGACATTTATGGAGGAAGAAATGTGGGGTCAGGCAAGCCACTCTGTCCTGAGCAGCAGATTCTACGTGTGCCTCAGGGTGTCTAAAGCAGCAGTGGACAGGTTGTGCTGTCTACACCCAGCTGCAGGGACCTGGAGGCTGCTTTGGGCTCATGGAAGGACAGAACTAAGCATGTACCACCTTTTTTTTCTGCATTCACATCCCCCTGCCCAGCAGATCCAGATGGCAGCGTGGCAGCCATGCACAGGGCACAGGGACTTGAGATCTGAGTGCCAAGTCACAAACCCAGCATCCAAACATCACAGCTCCGTGCTGAGGCAGAAATCGTGTCCATATTGGTTCTGATTCAATTTCAGAGGCGTGACAGGAACCCTGTGTTTGGGTTCATCTGCCTGCTCTTCCTCCTTGCAGTCAGTGCACCCAAACAAACCTGGGCTGAGCTGTTCACGTGGCTCTCCAGAACACAAAACCAACAAAGATCCTCCACAAATCCAGAAAACTCAAAGAGGAGCAAGGAGCTGGCCTCGCTGTCTGTTTTGCTTCTTCTCTTTCAAGCTTTTTCTCAACTCCAGCCACGTTCAGAGGCTGCTTGATAGGTCAGAAGGGCACCTTTGGGTGCCCCCCTTGCTTTCCATCACGGCTGGTGCTCAGCTGGTGTCAGCAGCTTTCCTCACACTCCTCCTGGCCTGTTGTGCACTGCATGTGAGGGACAGTCCCCATCTCTCTGTGGGGGCACACCAGGAGCTCCTCTCCCACCTCAGCATACCTACTTGAACCCCGGACACACCTAACCCCTCTTTTCCCCCAGATGACCTCTCTGTACCCAAAAGGCAGTGGCCAGACAGGGCAGGCAGCCTTTCTCCCTCCTGTAATATCCCACCTGTTTGTAACGGTGTAAAATATACATTTATATGGAACTATGGCTAACAAATTGCTCTCCTGCACAGCTGGTCAAAGGACAGGGCCTTGCCCTGAGTATCACAAGAGCTACAAAGCTTTCTAGGCAATGCCTCTGACTGTCAGCAGCATGCTGGGAATTAATGCTATGCACTGCTAATAGTCATGCATTTGATGCAACTTACGACTACCAAAATGACTAGCTCAGCACCACTTCTGAGAAATGTTTCTTATGGATTTTGCAAAAATTTTAATATGGATTAGGGTGTACTTCCTTTTTTTTTTCAACAAAAGGTCAGATTTGAAAGGAGCAAATGTGATGTATATCTCCAGAAAGCTTTAAATATCAGGAACAGATGTATGAAAAATCAGCCTCTTCCTAAGCACAATGTCTAATGGAATTTGGGAAGGCCTTATTTTATTCAAAATTTCTGTAGGACTGAATCCTTGTTTCAGCTTTATATATATATATACATATATATATAAAACCAGAAAAATATATATTAAAATATAAATAACATATATAAATATAGATATTTATATAAATAGATAATTCTAAAATAATTCATAAATAAAAATAAAATAATAAATAAAATATAGAAATATATTTATATATAAATATATAAATTAATAAAATATAAAATAATATGCCTATTATATATATTTATATAGATATAAATACCCAAACAATGGAATGGGACCTGCACAGGTGCCACATGCTGTGACAAGTGAGGAGCTGCCAGTTAAGAAAGGCTCAGGACAACACTTTTATAATTTGTATAAATAAATTGACATTTTTCAAAGGTGACTGGATTGGTAGGACTCACACACCATGCAACTGGAGAAGTTCAGCACAGGCAGTGGTGTAGGTGTGGTGCCCCATAGTGTAATTAAATGTAAGCTTCCACTAATTACTGCTTCTTTTGAGAATGTTGGTCATCAAAGAATATACAAATCATAGAAATGTTGAGATGTTTTTAGGATTCTATAAAATAAGACATAAACATTAGCTAGTAATAGCCCCCAGACACTTTAATTACAGTGCCTGCTGAATGCCACGTCCACTGCTCCCTGTTTTTGTGATGATCTTGGAGCAGGGTGAGTGACCTGCCCCTGAGAAACCCAAACCAGTAGGGATTTCAGCCCTTCTGAATCCAGAGTTAAAACCTTTAAAGGTTTGGGCTGATTTGAAAAATAATCTGGAAGAGACATACAAATCCTCCTTTTCCCCAGTTATTAAATATTTTAATCATAATCTGCCCTGCTAAACAAATCTTCCCCACTTCCCACTTTACCTGTTGCTCTTGACATTTCAGGAGACTTCCTGAGAGATGACCCAGGCTCTCCAGTATTAGACCAGGTTATGGGTCCAGGTAGTCACTTTTCATGTTTGGGCATGGACTATACGCCTGGATGCTGCACTCTACCCCATATATGTCCAAAATCTATCTGGAATCAGGCAGTGAATGATATTCAGCACTGGTTTGAAAGCATCTCTCCCCTTCATGCCTTGGTACTGCACTGCAAAACAGGCCTACATCCAGCCCCAAAATACTGAGAGAAAAATGGTTTCCCAGACAGGAAGAGGACTGAGACAGGAAAAAGGAAGGATTCAGAGGTAAAATGCAAAAGGTTATTTGTACTGGTGTGACAGCATCAGGCTGGACTCCAGCAATATCATTAGAAGGAAGAATTAAAAACATTTGAATATCCTCAGGTACTACAACCCATGCCAGACTGCATCACCCCCTTGGAGGCTTTTGCATTGAAGAGGAGATTTTGTTTGTTTGGTTTGTTTATTTCCTGATGTCACTCACACCTGGCAGCTCCCCCTGAACATCCACAGAACTGTTCCACCTTCTTCCTTCACTGTGCTCCTGCCCCTTCTTCACCTCTTGTTCACATATCCATCACTTAATTTTCAGTTTGTCTACCAAAAGATAAACATTTCTTCTTCCAGAGAACTATTTAATGGCAGAGAAATGCAGATTCTGCCTCTCCTTTTGGACAGGCTCTTCTACCCTCCCCACTCCTACATTGCTGGGACATGCCATGCCCAGTTGGGATTAGCAATGTGATATTTTCACATTTGTCAAACCAGTCTCAGAGTCCCACTTAGCCCATGAAATGAGGCTCCTGATCCCTTCTGTCACAGCCCAACCTCATAACAAGTTCCAGTGGCTTAGAAGAAGACTGAACTCAGCTGCTGCCAAGCCACAGCAGCAACCTAAACTCTGTAATTTACCCTTGGCATAGTCTCACCATGAAGCACTTTGGATCCATAATAAAAACAGGAGCAGTACTGAGCTCAGAGTTTTGTCTGTACATGTAGAACACAATTCTGAAACATCAACAGGGGAAAAAAGCAACCTAAACCCAGCTTACCAGCAGATCAGGTAATTAGAAATATCAAAAAACATGAATGGAAATTTCAGCACAGAAATGACTTTGCATATTCCTAAATTTTAATCACGGAGACTCTCTCAGCACTGTTATCTGGAGGTGCTGCTGGGTACATAATAAAAACTGTGTGATTTATATGTGTGCATGTGTGTGCACACACACCCCAAAAGGAAGATGTCTTTGTGCATGCATATAAAATATATACATATATATAAACAAATACACTTCTTAATTTTATTTGTAACTGAATGTGGGTATTTCAAGAAGGAGAAGAAGGAGGACCCTGGAAACAACTGTTAGTGACATCCCTGTGCCTGGTAAAATTATGGAGAAGATTATTCTGGGAGATATTGAAAAAGACCTAAAGGAGAATTCAGCCATTGGTCACAGCCAGCAAAGCCTCAGAGTCCTGCTTATCAAACCTGATTTCATACCATGACAGGGTAACCCATATTGTCCATCAAGGCAAGCCAGTGGATTTAATGTTTTTGGATTTTGATGGAAGTGACACCCATGGTCCCATCTAGGCAGTGCCTTAGCTTCAAGAGAACTTGTTGAGACTCACAGGTATGGATTTAGCAATCCAGGCTTTCATGTACATCTTTGAAAAGTCTGTGCTTCTGTAAAATTGCAAACAACATTTGCATACCTAATAAGTTGTGCCTGATGTGAGTGTGGTCCGCACACCATGCCCCAAAACATCTCAGAGATGAACACCACTGTCCAAAGATGTTGAATCTGAACACCAGCAAAATTAATTTAATAAATGATCTTTAATTAAGTGTAACCTTAATTTCATTACATCGTTATTCTGGCATGACCACATGATACTTAAATTTGCATTGAAAACTTCAGGATAACATTAAATAAACTGAATATGGCATGAAAATAAATAACTAAAACAAAATGTACTGATTGTTTCACTCATTTTCAAAGTAACTCAATGCACTGCTGTATTTCTTGGTTTGTCACTACCTCCAGTTCCTCACACAGCAGGACTGTGGGATAAGAATTTTGTCAGGGAAGATGGCCTAGACCTGCTGGACTGCATGTATTTTGCAGGTAATGAGCTGGAAATATTTGCCCCATAATTTCTGTCTCATTTTTCCACCTCACTACCCTGGGCTCTTCCACTTTGATTTCTCTCTTGCCTCCATTCTGCTCCTCAGCTCTGTGCTCTCTGTCCTGCTGCTCCTGGATTCTACAGCTCACATGTACCCATCCAAGGAGGAGTTCCTGTTCTTCTCCTCTACATCCCTAAGCAGGGGACCTTTGCCTCCCCCTGTGTTTTGTAGCTCCTCACCCTTTCTGACACTGAATTCTTTTTTCTTTGTCTGTCTCTCATTTTGTTTGTCTTTTCATATTCAGCTCACAATCTTGTCAGTGCTGCAAAGGCGTTTTATTTCTACTCCCTAAGTAGGCCTGGAAATTTACAGGGCTGTATAAATACATAATAATCAATAATCATAATGACACCACATTAAAATTCAAGCCTACAACATCAGCAGCTACTGTAAAAGTTTGAAAACACTGTGATCTCAACTAAAAATCAATCCAGTGAATGGGATGGGATTTAGGTGCCAAGGCATAGGTATCCAATGCCATTTTCAATGGTCCAGGATATGACACTCAACTGGCAACTATTGCTCCACGTGGACACGAATTTCAGGACTTCTGCGCCCTCACTGACTGCCCTATGTGGGCTCCTCTCCTACCCTGGCACATCTAAAATGACATTCCCCATCCATGTTTAGGCAATCGAGTTCCAGACTTGTGCCCTCAGGTCAGCAGCCCTGATCTCTGAACTGAAATGTAAAACCTTAAAACAATCTACCTAAGAACGGCCTTGAACTCAGCATCACATTGAGATAAAGTGAGGAAGGAGGATTCCTTTGATCTCGACTTTGCAGTTAGTTTGCAATCCCTTTACTCTCCGAAGTGTAAAATTACAGAAGGAAAACAGAAGCGAGTTAAAGGTTATAAATACCTGGTGTCAGGAGTATGACAGAGGTGACAATCAGCGAGCAGATAACGAGAATAACAAGTAAGGCAATTGCAATTCCTTTCCAGTTTCTTTGAGGAGGATTACTCCCCACCAGCTCCTAGAAACATCAAAAGAAGATGAACATTTAGAAAAGGGCACTTAGACAAGGAAATGAGCAGAGAATCCAGACAGCAATGTACAGAACTGCAGCCTGCGACCACGGTGGGTGACACCCTTCAGCCAAAAACAGTTCACACTCTTATAGCTCATGGTGGAATTAATTGAATTCGTCCCAAATAATTACACAGCAAATAAATGCAGTGCACCCACAGGTGGCTCAGCAGTGGAACCCACACTCCCCATCACCTCCTGGCACACGGGCACCAGCCCCCATCCCAGCACTCATCCAAACCCACTCATCAACACCCATTTCCTACCAACCCTCATTAAGTCTGGGAATGAGGAGCTTTACAGTAAACTTCAAGAGACTTTCATAATAAGATGTCAGAGAAGCATACAGGAAGATAAATAATTCACAGGGGCATGCACAGAGATAAAAATCAATAAGGATATCCCCCTGGTGAACTTTCCTGCCTTCCCAGAAAACATGACATCTCCTCAGGGCATACTGTGTGCACCTAGGCTGGGAGGTCTGAGGAACTGAAGACAGGTTTCTTGTCTAGTATATACATTAAATTTAATCACGTCCTTAAAACTTCAGAATAAAGCTCCATCACCACTCACTGATTAGCTCTGACTGCACTGAGGTTGCACCATATGTTCTGCCTACAATGTATACAGCACCCCTGCTCTCAGGACTGAGGCTTTTATGAAGCGCTGTGTTGGCATTCCCAAGATCTTAAAAATTTATTGCACTTTCATGTGTTTTGCTGGATTCCTCTTAGCATTTTGCACTATATGTGATTTCATGCAAGCATTGAAGCACCCACAGGAGCTGTATGAAATATTAGTGCACTTTTCTGGGAGGCTGAATTCACTCAAGGGATGTGGTCTCACAGCCAGAACAACTCTGGATGCTCCTCATCCTTGTGAAACTCATCTATTTAGGTTTTTTGCCTCATTTCCTTTAGTATGAGGAATGGTCTGTCTAAAACAGAGCTGATGGTACTTCTTTAAAAGACTATTTTTTTTCCATTCTAAATTTTTTATGAAAACAAAAAACTTTCTAGTAGATTAGGTTCTTCTGTTATTCAGAGTTTGCTTTACTTCTGTTTCTTATACACAGCAGCAAAACTGGAAGAGGGAGGTCAGGCAAACCTCACAGTTTTGTATTCAGAAGATTCCAGGAAATATTTTTCATTCTTTCCCTAGAACTCATTTTACAGAAAAAGATAATGTCTAGGCTCACTTTCTATATGTTTTGGGATCTAGCCACTACAAAAGCTATAAATCTGCAATGGAAAGCCAAGTTTGAGGCATTAAACAGCTGATGCACTCCATCATTTATTCTAATTAAAGAAAAGACATGAGGCTTCTCTTCCTTTTGGCAAAGAGGAGTAGAGGTGAGCAAACCCTCCCCTCCTTCTCTACCCCTTGTTTGTACTTGGCTTTCTATTTGAAATGAAAAATAATTAGAAGGAACAAATTTATAGTTTACTATCGTTACTGGAGAAAAATTTGAAAAGTAGGTCAGGAGTTTTGAGGAATGCCATTTTTGCAACAAGAAAGGAGAATAAATACTTCCATTTCTACAGATTATTTATCCTAAATATGAATACAAATGTTAATCAATTTAGTCCTCCAGCACCACTTTTAGGAAGCTGTTATTCTCAAATTTTCATGTGTTGCAATAAGGCACAAAAGACAGTCTGTGGCTTTCCAAGGGAGGCAAGTTTATAAATAAGCCAGGGAAATAATGCAGGGCTTCTTATTAAGTGGCAGGAATATTCTTTCTTTCACAGCAGCATATGGGGGGGTCTAGAGAGAAACAGGAGAACTGTGGAGAAGCAGGTGAGAAACCCAGCCAAGCCCTGAGTGTCCTGGGACAGAGGTAAAACACTGACAGTGTTACAGAACTGATGGCAACAGTCACAGCCCTGAAAATAACATTATACTCTCACCACAAATGGTCAGAAGTTTTAAAATTGAAGAAAAAATTAGCTTGTGGACTTGAATAACATCTACAAACCCAGATTGTTGGAGTGTGAAATACCCCCACAAACCACTCGACACCAGATGTAGTTCAAGAGCTTCGTAACACCTTGCATTAAGTGTGATTTCCCCATCCATGAGTCCCAGTGTGATAGAAATGCACACACATACTTGAGTGTTCAGGACAGCTGTACTTCCACTGAATCCATTATCAAGTCAATCCCATTAATTCTCCAGGCATTCAATCAATATTTGAGCAAAATCTCAACAAAAAGAAGGCTGTGAATGTCTAGTGCATCAAGAGGAGGAAAACTATTCATAAGCAAAATATTGGGGTTTAATACACTGCAAGGAAGTAGAAAAGAACATTTTCACTTTTCAAAATTCCACCAGGAAATTTCCCTTGGTAAAAGGTAAGGAGAGATAAATGACTTTTCAAAGAAAAACAAACAGCTTTATTCAGGACAGGTTTGGAAAGCTGTTCTTTTGTTCTTAGTTACTTGAAGACTCTTCTGATGGAATCACTTACAGCAAAACTGCAGACACACCACCCCATATTCATGGCAGCACTGCCACCTCAGATTCCTGTCTGGATTTCTGTTCATTCCAGAGGGATGCTGCTCAGTCACTGTGACCATCTTTTCCCTCCAGGGAATTACAGCCCCACCAGCCTGTGTTACCCCCTGCCCTTGGCAGCACCCTTCCCTGGGGCTTCCCACCAGCATCAGCTGCGTGTTCACACTGCCCAGGGGAGCCTCTGTGCTGGGGACTGAAGCCAGGAAGGGGTTTAACTCAGCCCTAGGCAGGTACAGATTCAAGCACATAAATGATGTTCTTGAAGTGGCAGCTCAAGGGGTGAGTTTCTGGCACAGAGCTCAAAGCTGGAATTTGCCTGTTCCTGAGAGACCCAGAGACAGACGTGGAGACATAAACCCACCAGCAGGCAGATGCCCTTTGTGTTAATCCTAAAGACACCAAATTTGGATTTCATTCTGAAATTTGAGCATGTGGCACAAAGGGAAATACACCAAGCACATATGGTTTCTGCTCTGATGAAAAGAACATGAAAGAAAACATTGAAGTCGCTCATCAGGAGGAACCACCTCCTCTCTGCCTCACATGAAGCACAAACACATCCTCATGACCTCTGCAATCAAGCTAAAGCCTTCAGCCTGCTTTTCTCCTTCTGCTTTGCTGCTTGTTTTTCACCTCCTTCTTCATATTCCATGAAAACTAAATTGATTTTGGATTTGGAAAGTAAACCAGATGTTTCCAGGTTTTTACATAAGCACACTTCATTGATGCTGCATATTAAAAACTGCAAATGCTATCACTTACATCTTCATTTGTAATTGAAAAACGTCACTAGCCACCTGTGAAGTTGATTTTGGAACCATTAATCTAGACATCTACAGTATTTTAAGACTCTAAAATACAAATCTGTAGTGACATATTTTCATGCCTGTGAAAGAATCACTGTGTTGACATGTTATGGATGAAGGCTGGATGTGCTCCAACCCAAGATGCTGTCAACAAAATTATTTCTGGCATGTTTATTTGAAACCTGCCAAAAGCCTGCCAGCACAGTGGTCATATTACAGTAATATAATAGCTTCTTAAAACAACTCATCAAGCACCACTTCTTTTTTCTTTTTTTAATAACCGTGTCTATATGGCTGAAGGACAATATAGACATCACTTGCCAAGTATGGGTATTATTTAATAAAACTTCTACATCCTGGATCAAAAATCTTTGAAGTATCAGCAGTGAGACAGTCATGGTTGGCCTCTTAGTCTTTTTCAACACAGAGCTGCCACTTTTGTTCAATAACAATAAATCCCAGGTGTGATATATGAAATGTATACATTCCTTATACAGGTGCTGTATTTAGAGGTTCCTTGCAGAAGCAGGTGACACTGGGCCATGGAGACTGAGCTCTGGACTCAGTTACTCTGGTGTAAATCTGATGCAAAAGATGAAAGAAAATACAATAAATTAATGGTATGTAATAAAAGCAGGTGCAAGATGCTTTGTTGGTCTCAGAGGTGGCAGGATGGGGATTTATAGCAGTAATTTTGTAGTTTCCATACTCACTACTCTTGCAAGCTCTGTTTCTTGCTTCTTTTTGATTTATTTTTAATTTTTGACCTTAGATATTACACTCACAAACACAGCAAAGAAAAAATTCTTCTAACAAGCTTGTTAACACCATTAATTGAAAAATGTGTATTATACCTTTTACTCATGCCACCTGGCTCTGCATTAGGACTTCTGTCTGATGAGATGTGGGTGAGTGTGGTGTCTCTGATAACTCAGCTTTCCAAGTTCAGAATGTGGTACAGAATAAAAAGGTACAGGAGCACTGCTGTCCAAGACAAAACTCCTGTGAAGTTCAGTGGAAAAATAATCTTGCTCCTAATTAGTTCTTTATAATACAAAATTGCAGCAAATTATACCTGCTGAACAATAAAACAGATGAGCTGAGGAGTGGGTAACCCATACAATTATTAGATTATTAACCTTATGTTGCAAAAAAGAACCTCTAATTGCAATGATAATGGCAGTAAACTAGATGAATTGCAATGGTTACAGCAGGAGGTTCACTGGGACTCCTGGTTATTCTGCTGATTGATACTGCATTTCTGTCTCATCACAATCCTCCTGCCTGGCTCCTCCACTGCTCCCCTGCCTTAAACCTAGGATGGAGGTTCCTCATGGGCAGGAATCGTTTTTGATACCCTGCTTGGCACAGAGGAAACCTCAGTCACTACAGAATTTAGGAATTATCATAGCACAGATAAACAATAATAAGCATGTAACTGCATCGTTCTCACCTCTGAAGTCAAGCTGAGTTCCTTTTGCTTGGGGATATTTTATTTATTTTCTTTCCTTTCCTTCTCCTCCCTACTTGCCTCCCTGCCCTCTGGTGCCACAGACCACCCTGAGCTGTGCTCCAGCTGGAGTGTGATGCTGAATAACAACCAGTTTCCAGATAGACACAGGGC